CCATATTAATACAATTATTTATTCTTCTATATTCACCTGCGCACGCGCGGAAATTGAGTCCTAAGCGACGATAACAACGCACGCTAAAAACGCATAGGCTCATGGGTAGACGCTTGTTTGCAAACAACGGAAGTTCATAACATGTGAAGTTCATAACATGTGTACCACAATACCGTAAATCAACGAAGGTAGCGCAAAACGGTTTACTTCAGTCAACATTCATTGTCGGTAATCATTCTGTTGACTATTATCAAGTAATTCAGTAAGTTTTTACACTGACTCGGAATTTTTCACTTTATTCTAACAATTGTAAAAATCGACTCATAATTACACTGAAATATACCGGTCTGCAGAACCCAAGTACTAGCGGGATACGGGATTTGCGGCTCCGACTTGTTCGACGTTGATGGCGCTACTCAACAAACAGGAAATCAAACACACCTTTCATGTAGCGAATATGGCGCAATCCACCTTTGCCTATAAAATGCGCCCTCAATTGACGAGATGATGCTGGACGTTATCAAGACGTACTTAGTATGTGAGTGAATGCATGGAGGTAATCTCTTTTTACCTCCATGGTGAATGCAATTACGTTCAAATCCACATTAGTGTTTTGTTATGTAGGCGTTTATAAGTTAAAAAATTACAACACTTTAAAAAAATAACTTATTTCTTATTGCCTATGAGTGACTGTGACTTAAAACAATACCACCGCTGCAAACGGTGTGATACACCCATTACCGTCACATTATCATTGCCGCTAGAGGGCGCGATTTGTGGAAAATATCAGTCAGGTAACGTCGCTTAAAACAAACAAATAGGATCGTGTACGTATGTAAAGCTATACAAACATGCTTTTAGTTATGAATAATAAATCTGTATGTAAAATATAAAAAAAATTCGAGCGAGAAAAAAAATGCTAATGAGTTACCTGGAGTGGCGTACTACCGGCCGACAATGCTGTGAAACCAACAATGTCACTGAAATACACAGTCACACAGTCAAAGCTTTCAGGCTCCACGCGTTCTCCTCTAATAAGTTGCTTAGCAACAGAACTAGATTGTAAACATGAAGGGAAACACATTATTAGTTTTATTGACAATAATAAAATAAGTGTCATAAACGGCAAATATGACAAACAGAATATAAAGTGTAGTTATTAATCGTAGCTTCTTCCAATTTAATGTTCAAAATAACCAAACAACATTTAGATTGACCTTTATGCACAAAATACAGTGAGGGAATTTAATGCTTATTGGGTATTATTCACCTCGAAGTGCATTTCTGTCGGTATTTTCGGCAGATAAACATCCCTTGAGTAAACAAGTCAAACAATCAGAAAAATGTAAGATATTGAATAAATAGCTTGAGTTTCATATACAAACAGGCTTACAAATTTCAGAGTCGGGGCCTTTTTCAATCTCCGCTTTTGAAAACCCATACGTATAAATATGCGAGGAATTGCATTTTTTTTAAACTGGCAGGGACAAGTTTTAAATAATTTATTTATTTGCTCTGTTCCCGAAAAAAATAAAAAACAATATAAAAAGAAGGATATACGGAACAATGATATATAACGTTCATAATGTCATCATGTGTGTCGCCTAAATACTTATAATAATATAGTTAACCCCGAACACCTTGATCAAAACACAGATCATTTATTTTTCGTAA